ACGACGTGATATAGGGAAGTGATATCATGATGCCCAGTTTACAGATGGGGAAGCTGAGGTGCAGAGATGGGATGAGCTTGTCCAATACTGGACAAGCTCAGGGTGGACTGGCCCACCACAGCTCTCTAGAATGTCTCTGCAAGGGGAAGCCTTCCATCCCTGTCTCCCTTGAGAGGCCATTGCTGAGCCCAGGGCAAACCTGCATACTTCAGGAGATTTCTGACTGTTGGTTTCATTATGAAGCCTCCATTATTTCCTAATGAAAATACTGAAAACCTCATTTGGGTAAATTAAGGCTAGCGTCCAACCCAAAAGCTTGGAAACAAAATTCAGCAATGTAAGCTTACCTTTAACTTCAGAGTGTGGATTTTTTCCCCCAATGCCCTATAATTCGTCCTGCAGCTGGTCCGTGTGCGTGGAACACTTTAGCATTAATGACTCATCATCACCTTTAGCTTTGAATTTCTGGACTGCGCTGATTTTGTATCTCCTGCAATGGAACATTTTATCAGAGGACCTTTTCTCTAGTCAGAGGTTCTTTATAACTCGCACTACTACAGTAGTTGCATGTTCAGAGTTTGATCTGGACTTGTTGAAGTACCTGGTTGTCTTTTCATTGACTTCATTGGACTTTGGAACAAGACTTCAAGGCAGTGAACACTTTGGGACTTCAGTGGTGTTTCCCTTATAAAGAATGCTGCTTATATCTGAGTTTGCTATAAGCAGGTTCTTTTGTATGTAATGCTAGTTAACCATTAACTAGCAAGGGTTTGGTATGTAATACATCTATTTTCATGGCAGAAAACTCTGTCTTTGTCATCTCTTCTAAAGTCTCTTTGTAAAATTACCTAACTTTTAAAATATGCATAAACAAACATGGTTATACCTGTTAATTTTAAGAGCCATTACTATGTCCAAACGCTCTCAAAACAAACATTTTGAAGGAATATAGATTGCCACAACTTCAGAATGCCAGCATATTCATAAAGTGGATGAAACATGATTATTTTACTTAATATTATATTTCATTAACTGAAGTCTAATAACCGCTTTTAGGATCTTCATTGTTTCGGGTGTATCTGTCTTTTGGACAACTTCAGTTTGCAGAGATGGATGGGGTGTTTTCCATGTGAAGGATAAGTTTTCAATCCCCTTCTTCTGACATTCAGTTCCCTCTAGTGAAACTACATCTGTACAAGTTTGAAGTGAGAAGAATCCATGAAAACACAGACAAAGCGTGTGTGTGTATGTGTATGTGTACACTTAGTTTTCATATATATATATATATATATATATGAAGACTAAGCAAGGAAAAAGAAAAGGCAGCCATTCAGATCAGTCTTGTGGCTCAGTGCTCACATTTAAAAAAAATTAGGCCCTCTTGAAATATTACAGAATTATCCTTGCAGTGTCAGGTTCCAAGATAATGATGTGTCTGTGTGTGAAAATATTAAATTGCAATAACATGCAGAGTGAGTGCCTTTCTGAATGGGGTATTCAGTTCACAGTTTGGACAATCCGTAAAGCTAGTGAGTGACAGAATACAAATGGTGTCATAAAACATCGGGGGAATTTACAGCCAGCCTCCATCTTTTTGATCTATATACTATCTAACCAACACCCTCTATCTATCCATCTTTTGTTAATGAAACAGCTAAACATATTTAATTATTTATTGCTGTTTAATGTCAGGAGTTATCAAAACAGACTTAATTTTTTTCTTACTTAAAGGTATGAGGAGGCCCCTAAATTGTATGTATTGAAGTCTGGGATGTTTCCTGTCCAAAGATAATGCTTTAAAATGTTGTCTTTACACATAATTGTTTTAACATTTTAGTTGCTTGATGAAAGTGTCTGTTTTAACTTCCTTGCCTAATAGCCTGGCTTAGGCGCAAACACTTTGCTCAGTTCTTACATTGCTTGCTTTTCCCTTCAGCAGATAAAATATAAATATGGTAGGAAAAAAGGGGTGTCTCGTCTTCTGGCATCAAGGAATAATTAAACATGGGAAACCAGATTCAGCACCCGTAAACTGGCTCATCTCTGAGCCGAGTCAGCTGTAGTTCTGGCCCAATAACAGATTTAAAAGATATTTTTAAAATGTTTCTTTCATGCAGTTTGCTGCGCCTTCTCTGCATCTGAAAATTAGCCCTACTGAAGGCTATGCACCTCGGTTTAATAAAAACTTGCAATCGTTAAGCATGCCAAATATTTTTATGGCTATGCTGCCTGGAGAGTCTCTTTATGTATAAGAGGTCTAAAAACGGACCCTTGAAGCTGACCTCCGTTCTGAAATGTTAGGTGCAGATAATGCAACTAAACTGAGAATCTCTTGTTTCATAGATGGAAATTCCAGAATTGCAAATCCCACAGAGTCTCTAGGCTTTTTTTCCTGCCCCCCAGTCTCCCCACATAGAGGTGTTAATCTTCATCCTCTAAAGGTTAGGTTGAGCTGCTAAAAGCCACTGTTTGTTATTGAATCTCATCTGCTAATTATGGGGTAGACTAGGTGTTCGGGATCCATCCCTGCTATACCACCTGGGTCTTCTCTATTGGCAGCTTTGATAAGGGATCATTTTTTCCTCTTTACCTAAGCTCTCCCTTTACCAGTGGTTTTAAATTGCTTTCCAATCCTGACAGACTACCCTCAGTTCAAAGAGAAATGGGGAGGAGGTGGATGGTTATAGCAAGTCTTAGGAGTCCATTACCAGAGGACTTGAATTCTGTGAGGATCTCTTGGGAAATGCCCCTGCTTGGCCCACCAAACAGAGTATTGCATTGTGAGGAAAAAGGGCAGGAGGATAAAGGAATCCGGCCTCACTTTTCTCCAACAAAGGATCCTCAATACTTTTATTCAGCAGAAAATAGAATAATATTTCTGGGTTTGCTTTGAAAGCCATTTTCTGCTGGCTACCTCAGACACTTTTGACTGTTTCTGTGCACAAGGGAGATTTTTTTTTCCGAGGGGGTAGAACTCTAAGCCTGAAATGAGATATAAATGTAGGCAACCCAGTGCCAACGTAACAGTATATAAGCTGTGGTTTATTACTAGTATTGCTATTTCATGTATTATTTGTATTACAGTAGTGCCCGGAGGCCCCAGTCAGGATTGAGGCCCCATGGTGTTGGGTACTGCACAAAAGGACAGTAAGTGACATTCTCTGCTGGAAATCTAATTTTGTTGTATACTGTGGTCCCCCTTAAACTGTTCCTGTTCTGCCTGATATAAATAGCCAATGTTCCTTAAGCAGCTGTAATGTTCTAGTCACATCTTTTAGCATCTAGATACCAAGGAACGCTTCACCGTTGTGGTACCCTCTTCTGTCCTAAGCTGGCACTGACATGTTTCTTATCGGTTGTCTTGCAGTTGTACAGACCAATAGTTCTGTGTACTCTAGAGCAGTTTTTAAGCAATGGGACATCCCACTTCAAGATTGCTCAGTTTTATTCTGACTTGCAGAGATCCAAGAAACTAAATAGATGTAAAGAAGATTTAGAAACACACGGAGAAAATAAGTATTCTAATTATGGCTCGTGTTAGCATACTACATTGTACTACAGGACTAGTAGAGCCACCCTTTATTAGCAAAGATATAATACAGGAGTTGGCACATTAGCATTTAGCATAAAGTACTGTACTATCTAATGTTTCTTTTCATAGTTTGTAAGATATTGGTACAATGAAGCTATTGTGCTGATAATTAATGGGAAAAGATGGTGGGGTGAATTCAGCCTTGCTGGAAGGAGAAGCCACTCCTTGGCTTTCTAGAATTGCTTCCGTTTATGCCAGTTCAGTTTGGTCTGGTACCTCTAACCATTAAAATGGCTGGAAAGGACTCAGTGTTTTAGAGAATGCATGTGTAATGCAGTTGGCTTACCATAATAGCATTATATTGTTTTAAACACCTCACACCAAATTTTGAACTACCTTGGACCCTGTGGAAACTCCAGTGGCTTACATGAGCCCCTGAAGTGTATTTTTATGACTAAAATCTAACAAGACATAAATGTTCAATAGCCAATTTAAAAACCAAAGGAAAGGGCAAGATTCTTTATTGCCAGAAACTGAAAATGAAGTAACATAGATAACATTTTCTGATTTCTGTCTACAATAACTGCAGTCACAATGCATAAACCTGCATATGTGGAAGATGAAAGTAAATCTGAATTTTAAAATTCTAAAACGGGAGTATGACTTCCGCACCTAAGTGTGCAATGAAAGACGCCTACAGTAAGAGCTGTGAAGGTGACGTGTAGAATTCAATTTCCCCTTGTACACCTAAGTGGCAGCATTTTAGCCACATAAGTGCCAGTTTTGGTATCATGACTAGCAGCGTTAGACTCTGGAGGAGGAGAAGGATGGGCCCTCCCAGGTTTTAGCTTCAGCTATTGAGTGCCTGGGGCTCTTGCAAAGGAAGTGTGAGACCTGGTCTCCAGGCCCCCCTTACCCAAAGGGGGTTGAATCTGTATCTCCGACTTCCCAGCACACTGCTCTAACTACCATGCCATAGGTTAGGTATTATCTAGTCCCCCCCACTGTGCACTTGTGTGTCCACAGTGCAGAGGCAGGGCCATGAATGCTCAGGTACCTGGCTAGAAAAATAAAAACATTTAGTCCCCTGACATGCATTGCATTTAAGAGTTAACAAGTTAATCATGTTTTAAATAGTAACTGCCACAGGTGCAACTTAGTTTAAGGAGTGATAATGCAGCAAATGAGCCACAAAGTTATTTCACATATAATGGAATATAATGTTGGAATAACTCTGTGGCTTGTTTGCAGCATGCCTTAAATTGAACTTGGGGCTGGGAGCTTAGGTGCACAAAGGGAAATAGTATTCCAGCCTGTGTGTGTCTCACTGACTTTTCTGTACATATAAATCTAGCGTTCAATCCTGGAAATGGTTTTGCACATTTCTCTTGAAGTCAGTGGTACTACTCACAGGTGTAAAGTTATACACTCGCTGTTTTATTTTCAGGATTAGAGCCTTGTGGTGTTCTGATGTTACACATGACAAAAAACAGAGAAACTAATCTATTATCAATGTATTTTAATATATTATTCTGTTATTTCTGCTTTCATTTTTCCTGGTCCCCTTTCTCTATCCATGTATGTTTTAAATTCTATTGCTGTAATAATAGGGCACATGAGAAAAAGTAAGTTTAATGCAGAGTTCATTACTTTTAAACCCCCAGTCCTGATATTTGGAAGTGCTGACCATTTTCAGCTACCGCTGAAATCAGTGGGACCTGCCAATGCCCAGGCCCTTCGAAGTCAGGCCCAAGAGATTTAGGAATGTGTTTGTTATCAACGGTAGCTGCCGCCTTAAAACTAAATTAAGAGCTACCCAAAATCAGACTCAATGCTGAAATACTTTTGCAAGATCACTCAGATCAAAGTGAACCCATTTCTTTTGGCATCCATAAATGATATTTTCATTTCTAGTCTTTTTACCCCCCCCTAAAAAAGGGCAATAATTTCAGTTGTCAGAACAAAGTTTACATGCTGAAACACATGGTAAAGATAAGCAGTGATCTCAGAGTTAATGCTGCTACTGGGCTGAGTGGTCCCAACAGGAGGAGATTTTCTGCTAGCATTTACAAAGAGAGGTTGGAGGGAAGGAAATCAATAGGTTTGTGTGTGAGAGAGAGGGAATAATTTTTAGGTTTTGTCAAGTCATAAACTCTAGATTTGTGGGCCAAGCTTCTGTTCATTTTTACCCTTTGGAACTCATAAATGCTAGGTGAGGTACAAGAGATCCCAGAGAATAGTGTGCAGTGCTCTCAGGATAAAATCCCTGAAGTCCTTCATTATCAGCCCTGGAGCGCATGCTAACGGACAGACCAAATGGTATGGCAGTGCCCTGCTCAACTCCATTTTCCTTTGGAAAAACAGGATTTTTTCTTCTAAAACACAGCAGATTCCTGGCTATGGAATATGGAAAACACACTCCCAAGTGAGGCTCTTACATAGGGTGCATATTATTGCCTCTAACTGCAACTAGAGGGAGGCTTATTTCTTTTACAAGATGTAAGCTTCCAAACAATTCTACTGCTATTGAGACAGAATGATTCATACATCATAGTGGTGCACATATAGATCTAGAGATGTATCAGTATCTCTGTATTTTATTCCTTTCCTTTGCTATTTGAAGCCTTGTGGCAAATTTCAAAAGCAGTTTCAGTCTCTTTTTGAAAGTTGGGGCTTAGGCTCCTAAAATTGCTTAGGTACCTTTGAAAATGTTGTCTTTGATCTCCAGAAATTCAAAGCACAGAACTAATTCACAACAGAGCAGTCCTCTTGGATACAGGGCACATCTACATGAGATGCTTAATATGCAGTAGACTTAATGCACATCATAGTGTCACAGCAAAACCTGTGCTAGTAGGCTAATGTGTAGTAGTATTAGTCCACTGCGCATTAACTGGCACGAAAAAAGCATGCAATTGCGCTAATGTGCAGTGGGGCAGCCTACTGTGCATGTATTTAGTACTTCCTTTTGCAAGTACTAAATTTAATGCACAGTAGGCACTGCATATTAATGAACGTGTAGACGTGCCCACAGAATAGCAGCTAGGCATATTGCAGTCTGGATCCCTTTGCTAAATGGGAAGGCATGTAGTACCACACCTTCCATTTGTGTTTCTGTGGGAGAAAGAGATCTCTCATCTGCACCTCCTGAGTTTATTAAAGCTGCACATCTCATGCAAACCAGGTGTTTGGTGATATGACAATAACTGATGGGTCGCATTATAACTGGAGGGAAATGAGAGATTTATCAGAAAGTTCAGTGTTTCTGAAGAGATTCGTAGAGGATCAGGAATAGTAAAATGAGGCGGGTGCTCAGCATGGCATCCTCAGCCACACATCTTTATTTAATAAACAAAATAGTTTGGAATAAATAGCCTTACATAGCAGATTGAGCATTTTCCAGCTACTATTAGAAAATGCAAAGGGCTCAAAATGTATGTCACTGGCTGCATCTTCACATGCCCTTCACATGCCCTTCACTGCAGAGAAGACTAATTAGCTGCAGAGTATGCATCACGATCTAAATGTTGAATAGTATTAGGCCACAGTAAACTCATTGATACTGTTGTAAGATACTGCTGTTGTGGACAGAACTATTTTATGCTGGGGTAATTTATTGCAAGTAAACACATGTGTAGATGCTGACCGCGGGCATAAATTGCACCTGGTCAGCCCAGTCAGCCAGGGGCCAGACTTCCTACCTGCCACCTGGCCACATAGCTTCACACTTTTAGCGCTCCCACGCCCCAGCCAGTCCCTCTGCCACCCAGTGCCACCACCAGGAGCCACCACCTGGTGTCTCCATGTCCCCTGCCAGCCTAGCCCTGCTCCACCCCAGCTCAAATTGCTGCTGTCGTGGGCACACATGTAGATGCTGCACCTGGGAGTTGTTTACCCTGGCTCAAACTCTCCAGAGTTTATTGCTTTGCATTAATTGCACGTGTAGATGCACCCACTTTGACCTTTTGGCAGTGCAAAGAAGTGCTGCTTCTCCCTCTGAGCACAGATTGAAGTATGATCCATTGTCGAGATCTAACTGTGTTTAATGAGCGTATTCATCCTTAATTCAGTCTATCCCTTTAAGGTTGCCTGAACTCCTGTAAGTAAACAGTATCATCTGTTGTCCTGCTAGAACTGTACATCAGACAGAAACTGGGCTTGGATTTCTAAAGAGAGGTCAGATTTGTGGGCACCAGCCTTTTCCTTGGTTCAGTAGGGAAGTTATTTATAGTCCCATAAATGTCTCGGTGAAAGAAAAGTCAGAGGAGCCCATCACGTCATATTAAAAATATTGATCGGCTATTGATTATTATTTAGTCCAGGCTTAAAGTGTGAGTAACTGGTTTCTATAAATCACTCAGGGGTTCTGGTGAAGCTGTCTGACTGTCAGTGCCCAGCCAGGTTTTCCCTTAGGAGTAAAAGGCTGGCTCTGTTTCAGAAAGTGACAGCTGGAGCTGAATGTTGACGGCCATCTACTAAGAAGGACGCAGTTGTTGAATCCGGATGCCTCTGTTGTTTAGCTGCTGCTTTTCTGCCAGTGCAGGTGATCATTTCTAAGTGGTTTAGATGCTTGGTAAAGCATTCTTCAAGACAGGATCTTTTCTGTTAATGTATT